ATATATAATATTTTATATAATTGACTTGATTTTTGTGTTGTTGTTTTTTTAGGCCAGCTGGACGTTGTGGCCATATTGAATTGGGTCAGCTCTCATAGTTAATCAGTTTGTAAAGGTACATCCAACGATTATTAATAAAAGTTATTGTACTAAAAAWCACTTTTAACTTTAAGGTGATGGCTTCATCTGCACGCATGTYCACAAATGGGCTTAAAACTTCAAAGAGGTCAACGCTGAATGGAGAAAAGCTTATAAAAGTGGCTGAACCACTTTGCGTGGGTGTGTGTGGGTTAACCATTTGAAATACAGCCTTGAGTAACCCCAGGCATTAAGAAAGTCTGAATCTGTACCTGCTTTACAGAGAGAGCAGATAAGACACATTTCTGGTTTTTGCAATGAATTATGTTCTTTTTTATTATGAAAAATGTGCAAAATTATGCACGCAGGTATATTAAAAAAGAACTCATTACAATATCAAGGAGAGAAGTAAAAAAATACAAAAGAAACTAATAAAACCAGGACAACTTCCTTCCTATATTCTGGTTAACGTGTCTTTCAGGTAAATATTTCTGTGTGAAATTTGTGAACRGCTGCCAACTATCATATGTATTTGTTTACCTATAGGAAGAGCTAAAGTGACAGCCAACAATGATGTTCCTTTAACAGCTGTTTATGAATGAGAAGACCAACGTTTTGTTTTAGTTTTAGTCTTTAAAGCACTCTCAATGAAACAGTCTTGAAAATGTTAACTATTTWAYTTTTTCTGGAGGTTATAACCTGTATGTAAAACATTATTGGCTAAAGCCAGCCTAATACAGCTCAGTCTCATGACTCAAGCTTCCACATATTTTTACTGCATTTAGCACTTTGTGTACATTGAGTGCATACCCACATTTCAGAACAGCATAAGACTGTATCTGGAAAACTACYGGGGTAAACTCATTCATACTGCACCATATATCAGAACACCTATTTATTTTTATTTTATACTTTGCCATGAGTACCTTTAAATGTGGATTACCATCACTTTATTAATTTATTATTTTTAATTTAGGGTTTAAAGCGTTTAACCAACATTGAACTCACCTGACAAACAGATTTTGACAGATTTCTTTGAAAGCAACATGATTTTTTTTTCCATACACAATCATGAATGTGGTAAAATAAAAGAAACTGTGAATAAACTACCTGATTTCTGGTTTTAATCATCTCCCCGGGTTCAGGTTTGAGGCCGCGGGCAGAGAGGAGACAACACCCAGCCTCACCAGCACCAGAGAGGACAAATCTTTTCCCCCTTCGCCTTGTAGCGGCTCCTTAGCCTTTAGCCTACAGTCGACACTGTCCCTCATAGATAATTAGCTTAGCTTAGCTACAACAAAACCTCGATTTAAAATGACCGTCGCGATGTTTGCCAACGTTCATGAATTTTTGAAGTAKATTAAACACCAACTGGGAATTTCTTTGTGTCTTTGGATGTGGCTACAGCGATGCAGCGGYGCTGAATGGTGTAAATACCGATGTATGAGTGCCCAGCTAGCATAGCTCCAGAGCCAAAAAAAAAAAAAAAACCTACGAGTTCAAACAGCAGAAGCTTTTTTTTTTTCTTGACTAGCAGAAAGAAAGATTCGTTCCTACCTAGCTAGCGATGTGCCTGMTGTCGTTTCCGCTATGGAAAACTCGTATTCTTAAAAAAGGAGACAGAAAACCTACTGTACCTGGTTCTCCATGTTTCTCTGGCCTCAGTGATTGTTGTATTTATTTACAGCGGTGTTTGCGGAGCGTCTCCCCTGCCTCTGCTCCTCATTGTGTGTCAATCCAGCCCAGAAGCGGAAGGCAGACAGGGATCCCCTCCCCTTACAGACGGCTGCTGGCAGGCGACCAAAACAGAAAGCTCTCTGGGCCAATCAGGGAGCCGCAAATTCAAGCCCTCTCAAAATGAACCAATCAGAGCGCGGAGAGGGCGGGACAACGAGTAAACTGCAAATACAATTGAAGTATTTTTTGGTAGTTTTCTCGAGTGACAGCACGTATGTCCCAATGGCAAAAGCTCTGTTTCAATTATAAAATGCACTTAATGCTAATTGATTAATCAGAGCTGGAACACATATTTGAGTTTGCAAATTTGAATTCAGTAATACTAAGCTCAAATGTTCCTTATGTAACAGTATTTTCAAAACAGGAGAAGATAAAAATATAWTACTTTATTAAGCTTTAACAACAAAATTTCACACTTTTTTGCTGAAAACATAATTAGTTTAGTTGTATAACAGATAAAAGCATTATTGTCAAGAGCATTATATTCCAAACTGTTGCTTAATTATATATTACAAATTCAATAATTTTACTTAMAAGAATTCAGTCATAATATGCAACATTTGGTGTAAAACATTTGTGTGTATTTCTAACCCAGACTCAGTCAATAGTTGTAAAGATTTCCCTTTCAATATCTCATCTGATTCTGCATATCAGCTTCAACTYAGTTGTTTCATCTGAAAAGACAGCCGTAGGTCTTCTGATTTCTTTTCCACAGACTCAGAGAGCGAGGGGCCTGCCTCGGTCAAATCTCTACAGCGCTCAGACTTTGATGTGAGATTATCGGGCCTCAGCTATGTGACAGAAGGTCACCACCACTGGAGCCTCCCCTTCTCCTGCCGCTCACACTCATCCAGCCTGCTTTTCAGTAAAAAAAAAAAAATCACGATCAAAAGGAAAGTAATTCATTTTTAAAACTTGCTAGATTATCTTACATCTTTTTTTTTACTTGTTTCTTGAAAATAAGTGAAACTTTACATTCACATTAGTATCTTAGTSACCTTCTCAGATTTCATGTCTGACTCTTTCTTTTGAGCATGTGCTCTAATTAAATAGTCTGATGGTGAACTGAAGCCAATGTAAACAAAGGACTAATTRCACAGCAGGAAACTCATTTGTCTGCAATGAACAGAAAATCTTTCTCTGCGCTCTGTGGAAACAACTTAAACAGAAACTGCCGTTTTAACACACATATACATTTTATTGACCCATTGTGCAATATTTGCTCTTGATAGCCGCTGACAGTTTTGACCCACCGGGGCTGTGTACTGTGYAAACAAAGAATCAAGAAAAGCAAAACTGCTAACAAAAGAGAGTGGAATTATTTATGAATGTGAGCCATGTTAACTATATTTTTTTAAATGCTTGAACACTGACAGTGCTACCGCAATTACTCATAGTCTGTGCAATATTTTTATGCTTTGTTKTCTTTTATTCTTGCTGTATGAGCTTTCCTCTGCAGGAGGGCCTCGGTACAAACATTATTCATTATTTAGATTCATCATTAGCACCTTTCAGTGAGTCTTTAAATAGCCTGTRCTGATGCAGATACATTTCTTGGCACACTCAGTTTAACAAAGCTTAATTTCTCTTGAAAWGTAACTCAGTTAAAAACAGATTTTCATGCCTTTAATATGTGACAGAGTAAAGAGAAAAGAATGTGAAAATAAATGATTTGTTGCTTATTTTATATATAAGGACAGATGTGTTGGTATCAGTAAAGAAACTGATAGCTTTTTTGCATTATAGTCATGTTTCAGATTTAGAGTTTGGACTTATTGTACCACAGGTGCTTTTAGGCCACGCCCACCCGTCACACCTACTGCACATCCCTGCAAACATCCTGCTCTACCCTCACTTCTCTGCCACATCTGACTGCTTCATAGTGGTGGAACTCCTATCACGTTTACTTTAAAGCAGGTTTCTGTTCTAGAAAACACAAATTTATTAACAATAATAAATTCAAAACAATATTTTTCATTTTTTTTCTCCTTCTCCAGTTTATCATTTTGCACTAAAGTTGGGTGTAAATGTTGGACAACAGGCGTCAATGTCTGAGAAAATGGAATAACAATCCTATAAGCTGTAGTATGATTAAAAGAAAAATTAAACATATAATGCAAAAAAATTAAAAAAAATGTTGTAAAAGATTCAACCATTATTTGCTGGGATAAGATAAAAAAAATAAAAAAATCAAAACATAAATATGTCATATATTTGTTGAATTTTATAAATCCTGGTGCCACAGGCCCTCAAAACAAAYGATTGAAACCACTGCTCTGGACACACAAACATGAAACATGTTGAGCTCAGATTTAAAAAATACATAATTTTACAAAAAATATTAAATATTAGGAGTGAGTAAAGAAAAGTGATGAATTGATAGTTTGCTAATTGTCCATAAGAGGTCTCTGTTTGACACTAAAACAAACAARAAACACCTGTTCGTTTTCTGTTTCTGTTTGTTGAAAAGTGTCACAGAATTCCAAAACATTATAAAAACATTATAAAAAAGAAAAAATGATTTATATAGTGGTTATGTTTGTAGTATTTTATTGCAAAACTTACAAAGAAAAACATTAGTAAAAATGTAGCTTTATCAAAACTTTGATTCAAGTCATCATAATTCAAACAAGAAAATGCAAGAACGCCTTAAAACTATCTTATTGTTTAGGAGGTTTTCTATTCAATTCAATTTAATTAAAAAAATTCAATTCAATTCAAAATATTTATTCATTTCATTAAAAAATAACTATATACAATAAAAATACAAAGAAAATACACAAATCAAAAATCAAAATAAAATGAAAGGTAGCAGAAGAAGATTAAATCTGGTCATGTCTGCCCCTTTTATCCCCAGAATCAAACAAAACATAATTTACAAAACAATACAAATAAAAATAAAAAAAATCAACTCAAAATAAATTCACATAGCTTCAAAAAACTAGCTTTTATCTGTCTCTTAAATTTATACATAGATCTGGCATTTTTAATATCATCTTCCAGACCATTCCACAATCCTATACTCTGGATTAAAGTACATCTTTCTCTCAAGCAAGTATGAAAATATGGCTTCACAAACATTTCCATTCCCTTCAGATAATAACTGTCTCTCTTAACAAAATTTGCCTGAATGTTGGAAGGTAATACATTTCTGTGAGCCTTGTACATAAACAGTAAAATATTATAGTCAAGCAAATCATAGAATTATAAATTTTAAGTTTGCAAAATAATGTATTTGATGGATGGTTGTGATCTTTTCTCACGATAATTCTTAGAGCTCTTTTCTGCAAAACAAAAATCAGGTTTGTAATTGTTTTGCAAGTTTTACCCCAGACTTCAATACAGTAAATTAAATGCGGAACAATTATTGACTTGTACAACACAAGCAGAGCCTTGTCATTGAATAACTCCCTGACTTTATACAGTACTCCAACAGATTTAGACATTTTTGTTCTTAAATAATGTATGTGAGGTCTCCATGTCAGCTTGTCATCAATGATTTCAGTCAGCAACATTGTGATTTTTTTAAAACCACTTAGAAAGGACTTTCTCATGTAATTTATAAAATAACATAAAAATAAGTCAAAGTAACGTAACATGCAGTTCTTCTGTACAATAAAATCTCATCAGGATGACCACATGTTTATTAAACACGTCTTATGTTTCGATTGGAACTGGTTAATTTATATTAAAACAAATGCATCATGAGATTCTTGGGCTTGTTTTGGTGTAAAATTTGCGTAAAAACAAAGCGAAACATCATCCACCAGTTCCTCTGCTGACTAAGCTTTTTGACCTTCCTACTCAAAAGGTATTTGACACATCGATTGCTGATTCAASCTGTCATTCCAGTTCCTTGGAGCGTGCTTGTTGTTTCAAAAAGTCCTCCTAATTTCAGAGAAATCCCACTGATTTGAAAGTTTTTTTGTAAAGCTTTCTTCTAAATCAAATCATTTGCATCCACAATCATTTGTATGGAGGCTATAAACTCTYTTTTATATTGCTTATACAAAACAGGTGCAAATCTATAAAATCTCTTTTAAATTACATTTTTTTCTAAATCTCTTTTGTACGTCTGTACATCAGTGCAAATGAAGATGAGATCCTTTCTAGCAGAATCAACAAGTACACCTGATCAGCCCGAGTAATAAAAAACGATTTGTCAGCACCGTTTTTGGGTCTTGGGCATTCGTTTCAAGACAATGTGAGGAAATCCAACAGCCCACTTATCACAGGGCCAGTACTGCAGGCCAGGCAAAGAGTAAGGGATCTCATAACTGGCATCCAGGTAAGCTATCAGTGTGCTGAGATAGGCTACAGCCATCACAATCAGAATGTGCCTGGAAGACAGAGAAAAGATAAAAAATAAAATAAAAATCCATGAACAGAATCACGTGTTATGTTTAGGAAAAAACACACTCATGCAAGGCTGTGAAAATACATTTATCTATCCATCCATCCATCCATCCATCCATCCATCCATCCATCCATCCATCCATCCATCCATTTTCTGCTGCTAAATTATCTGTGGTCTCAATGGAGGGAAACCCAGAAATCCCTCTCCCCAGMTCCTTCTAAAGAATCCAGAGATGATCCATCGTCCCTCCCAGGTACTGGGTCTGCCCTGAGTTCTTTTTCCATTAAGGGCATGCCTGGACAACCTCCAAAGGTAGGCATCCAGGTGACATCCTAACCAGATGCCACTTCAGCTGACACCTTTAAGTGCTGAAAAAAGCTTCCCTTTGGATGACAAAGTATATCATCTTATCTTTAAGGCTGAGCCCGGCCACCCTGGAGGAACTTTTTTCAGCTGCTTGTATCCAGGACCTTGTTCTTTCTGCCACGAACCATATTTCATGATGACAGGTGGGGGTTAGAACAAAGACAGAGCAGTAAATCAAGAGTTCCGTCTTTCTTCTCAGATCCTGTTTGATCCCTTGATAGTTGGAAAACGCTTTGCAGCTCCCAAAAAGACAATGAATCTCTTCAAAGTGTATC